ATAATCATAAAATTGTTAATTGTTTTATTATATTTATTAGTACTATATTCTATATTTATTATTTGACTGTGGATATTTCTGTACATTTACAATTTTTAAAATAAATTTGTAGAATCTGAAGTTATATGTTATGGAAAATTGTGTTAAATTTTTGTATATATTATAATATACAAAATATGCATTATACTGTATTGAATTTTATTACACTGTATTATACTATATTGTATTGTATTATACTTTCTTTAAAAAATTCTCTTTTTTCGAAATTTTTCCGAGGTATGAATCGATTGTATGGAAATCCGGAATCTATTGATTACATTCTCAGGAATTATGTGTTCATACACTCCTAACTTATTCTTACTCTTTCAATTAATCGAATACAGTTATTAATTCATAGATAAAGTTAATAATAGAATAGGTGGGTAATAAGGAACGTGCATGCACGCCGATGAGTTTTTAGAACCAAGAATAAGCGAAATTCTTCGAGCGTGTCGAGATCGCGTTTGTGGAAACGTACCTCGACGTCGCTTATTGTTTCGTCGACGTCCAGGACGCTGTAGAAGGACGATCTCACCTGTAGGAGTACGATCCATCCGGAGAAGAGTCTTGGGATTGTCGCAATATAGCAAAACGTCGTCCATAATAATCAGGATTGTACAAGTATCTATTGAGTTGCGCAGACACCATTGCTGTGAATCCTAACAGAACCATCTAAGGAACAGGAATTAATGACTTTTATTAATTATAATAATAGTTATCAATAAAAAGCAAGAAGAAGAGAGGGAGAGAAAGAGTATGGTTATTTATTAATGTTATGATTTCAACCAAACAGTTATTTTGTATAGTTTTTGTAAAATATGACAAGTACATCTGTGTTAGAAAAATAATAGCCAGCAAACATTTCAATTATCACATAGTTTTTGTACTCCACGTGTGTGTGCGTGTAGTGCCAAGGGTACATGAACGTTTGAAGAAATGAAACCAATAAGAACAGTTGAAAATATATTCAAATGAGAAACAGTATCGTCAGTTGACAGTGATCTGTATTTTGTAAAAATAGTAATCAAAGAGTGTTATTAGATATTGACTTAAGCATGTATGCTACTGCTTAAAAAATTGGAAGCAGTTATTAACTTTTGATGAAACAAGTAACACTTCGGGCAGAGAATAATCATGTGTGAAGAGATTTGTTACACGTTTTATTCTAAATTGCAGATAATGTATTCAACGATATCAAACAATTACAATGAGCATTAAAAAATCCCTTTTCAAAACAAAAGTTTCAAAAATTTGCATCGAAGAATGGTATTATTTATAGTATGACTTGGTATATCTTAGTAAACAGATCATTGATCGTAAGAGACCTTTTTAATACTGTGATATGATAATCTGTAACGTAAGCGAAGGTTCACACACAATGTATGCCTGCGATTGTATATCAGAGTGTCGGAAAAACGGAAATTCATTTTCTCATCAAATTATCGAATGAGATTGTCTACAGTTTGATGAATAATTATTCAGGAACTTCCCGCATATTAATAGCAAATAAATGGTTTGAGAAAACCCACTATTTATTATTCACTTAATTTTACTTACATATTCTCACTTTGGTGAAAAAATTGTCAGACGTAATAAGTATCTCAAGCAATATTAGTCAAGCAACTTTTTGAACAAATATTTAAAAATATTTTAAAGTCCTTTAAAGATAATTATTTGTAAAAAAAAAGATTTTACTGTTTCTTTTATTTGAAGGGATATGGCGAAAATAGTAGAAACTGAACAAAGATTCATAAAAACGAATTTTTCAATTAAAATTCAATCTACATTATTTTAAAATACTTTTTTAATATTAATTTCACAGGTCATGCACCTTTTTTGAACACAATGTTTTATTAAATATAGAAAAATCTGTTCAAAATTGTAAACAATTTTACTTCTTTGAGCACTTGATAACATCTTTATGAGGTTAAACAATGTGCTCGTTTCCGATTTATATAAATTACTTATAAAATTTACATAAATATTCACAATTTAATAATACACTTTGCATGATTATATACACTGGAACATTTACAAAATCATACATATTACATATGCATGATACATATACTTGCTTTAAGAATTTAAGGATTAGATATGTTATTGCCAACGCAAATTTTATCAACTATTTTAGCACTAAACATTTTCAAATTATTTGCAGTTTATTAGCAATTAAATCCCATTATCCTGTTACATATTTGATTTCACAAAATATTAAAAAATTCAATTTGTTTTCAAAATACTTATAAGTAATGTATTAACTGAACTTTATTAGAAATTGAACTTTAACTGAGAAGTATTTGAAGGAAGTGCTTGAAAAATTTTAAAACAATTGCTGTAAGCGAGGAAACTATTAATGTAGGTAGACAATGGATTGTATTAACAAGTAGGCCATTGAGCATCCCGAATTTAAGCAGCATTCCAGAGAAATACAGAGGAATCTCTCTCAACGCAGCAAGGTATTAGTTATTAAATAATAAACTCTACTCACAAGATTACATGAACAATGCGATTCTAATATTAAACAAAACAATACTTCCTATTTCTAATTTTGTAAGTATACAATAAAAGAAAGCTCTGTCACAGTTTATCTTTGAACAGTTTAGTAGACTGAAGTTCTCACACTTGTTGTTGTTACACATTTAATCAAAAATATGAACAAATTATAATAATTAAAATATTTAAAATGTTTAGCTTGTAGTTTATGCACTTTTATACCCAATACTTCAGATATTAATTAAAAGTATGTATTAGAATTCGAGATTCTTCATCCTGTATAAATAATGGAAGCTTTCTTTGGACAGAAATGTGTTTGAAATGAATAAAGATTGGAAGTAGGGATTACACTTACAACAATCTTCATCATGGCGGCACAATATATTAGAAACTGAATTTTACTGACTGTTAAGATAGTAGATAACTTCAATAGGATGGCAAATAACTCGAAACCCACTGAATGTTTGAAAAAGACACGTGATAAGAGTCTGTTGCTATCCGGTCGGGTGCAAATGTACGTGATCAAACGAGTCAGGATGAGATTATATAGTCGGCATCGTACCCTGCTTCTGCCTCCTTCGCGCCCCGCCACTGTTTTATACAAGTTGAAGGGGAGCATATTCCTCGTGTATTCGCGTAATTCATGAACGGGGTAACGATTATATCTGGGATCGTCTGATAAATTCTAGGATTATCTTATATTCGAACGTCAATGAATTTACTTCGGTATATGTTCCTTGTCAAGTGTATAGACATACACCCTTCTATATGAAATATTAACGTATACAGGCAACTGGAGTTTGACGAATATACACGTTATCTTAAAACTCGAAATAGTGTTAGTTTTCCAACGATGGACTATTTATTCTTTTACACAAACATGTAACTCTTCTTCGTTTCGCTTTTGTTTTTCGTCAGAATATATTATAGGTACATTTTCACTGTGTTTGACGAGTACATACTTCATTGCTCGACTTTATTGCGCGCATAATCAGAGATTTTTCAAACTAAATTCCACAGTTAACTGGTGAAAACAATAAAAATTTGAGTAATTGATTTCACATTTAAAAAAATAATATATACTTTCATGTATTTAAATTGTCATATATTTATGAGTACAATGAATTGTATATAGGACATTACTTATTCTATAAGTAACTATCAGTGCTTTTGTTAAAGAGACATTATCAGTAGGATGTGTAGAATAGGAGAAATGTATATTTAAATGATTCTGTTGCAGATAAAAATATTCATTCTTTAAATACTCGAGTTGCTCCCATTAATTACAAGTATAATGTCAGATATTCGATCAGATACTTCTAATTATTCTAATATATATATATAATTTACATACATTTCAGGTAACGGTGTAGCACGGCATTTAAATTTAAACTGACAATAAGTACTAAACGAAGTTTATATGTCTCCGAAAATTTAACAAGCATACTTGCAACTTGTATTTGTTTATCGTTTAATATTTCCAAATATTCATTACCCAAAGCCAATTAGTGAAGGATACTTTATTTCTTATTCATACACATGTTGCTATTGATTCGTTTATACAAAGATTAATTTGAAGTCGGACTCAAGGAAAAATTTAGTTCTTCTATTAAGAGTTCTACCAAATTGTGTATAACGTAAACATCTCCAGTTTTTTGATAGTTAAACGATTGTAATTTTCCGCTATATTTATTGTTATATGTACGTGCTATATTATGTTATATGAATGTATACAGAAAGCATGAATTTGAATAACTACAGAAAATTAATTATTGTTCTCTTCGTAGTGCAGTTGTCGCAATATTACATGCAGTAAGTGTATTCAAATGAGTCTACATAGAAAGATGATTTTGGTATCATCGATTTCCATGGAATATTATTACCTAACACCATTAAACCTGCATTAAAAAAGAATAATAATTTGTTAAGCATTTACTGAGTTAATCTATCTTTCAAGTTTTTAGGTTCATAAATTTCAATAGTCATATAATAATTGTTGTAAATGTCGATTTATCTGAAACTAAATATTGTTATTTACAAATTCTTCATCATTATTTCGTTTATCTTTAGATTGGTGCAAATGATTTCATCTAGAATAATTGATTCTGTATTCTTAATGAGCTGTAAAATAAAATGTTCAACATAAATGTATTCTGCATAGCTTCGCATTCGTTTTTATTGTTCCGTTGTATCATACAAATTTTTTCTAGACATAATAAACATAACCATAATACAAATTTTTTTTGCATAAAAGACTCTTATTTCTATCATTCACCTTTTTCGTTAATGCATTTAAATATCTCTCGTTTAAGATAAACACAATTGTTAACAAAGTTATGAAAAATGGTAATGAACAACCTAGGATCATTGCAATCCTATGAAATTTTAAAGTAATATTGACCTAATATGTGTTAATATAATTCCTTAAAAACTCTTCAAACACAGTATATTATTATTTTATATTCTAAAAAATTAATAGTAAATAATTAATAATTCTATAAAAATCACTGTTAAATATATGACTAACTTCATTATCAACAATATTAAATTAAATAAATTAATAACAGAAAATATCTATCTCATAGAGTTTCCAAGTAAATAGATTCAAATTGAAGTTCAAACCTCGTGTAAACTAAGAACCATCTTAACTACGCTTTTCCTTGATAATTATATTTCGTAACGTTGAAGTTATTCGCAGATAAGTATTACACGTATAAAAGATGAATGATTAGTTGTGAAAGATACATTTGGTGGAAACTTTATTTATAAATACGATGTCTGCAGATAACGCGATGTCAAGGAAGAAGTTCCTAAGGAATGAGAAAATTTATGGATTTCTGCAATGTGAGGATACTGCCGGTGTTCCAAGTAGATTCAATGAATGTAGCTATACTTAAGTATAACTATTTCAATGAACATTTTTAAACTGCAGACACTTTAAGGAATATTGAAGAGTCAGGAGTTGCAGAAAAGTTACGAAGAGCCGAAATAAAGTTATAACTGTTATTAGACATATCGGTTTTTAGTTACAACTTCTGATCTATATCGATTTCAGTTTCACTTCCAGTTTCCAATATTATATCGATTCTGTATCGGTTCTATAAATGTTATTTTTCAGATCTACATTTCGGTTCTATATTTCGGTTCTATGTAATATACGTATAATATCTACATATTTTACAATCCTAGAATGGTTACACACCGATCATATATCATGTATATTAGAACTTATACATATAATAAGTACATGCTCAAATCACTGGGAACGCAGAACCGAAATACAAAACCGAAAAATAACAGTTATAGAACTGATATAATATTGATTTTGAATTTGACTTAAAATCGAAAACAATATATGTTTAAAAACGATGTACCTGATAACATTTATAACTCTATTTCGGTTCTCTATTCTCTAATTGTTTTAAAAATAAAAACCGATATCATAACTGTGTTCAAGAAGAATTATTATTTAAATTTTTACATTGTGTGTACTTTTAAAGTAAATACAGTCCATCTACATAGAAAAAATTAATTTAAATAATATTTGAAGACACGAATACTACTAATTAATTTCTTCTTCCAGACTACTATTGGGTAATTTTTAATATATTAAATAATTAACAATTGCAAATTGACATATTGGCTACC